GCGCGTGTGCGTGCGTGCGTGCGCGCGCGTGCACGCTTGTTTGTTTGTTTGTGTTTATGTATGTATGTACGTATGTATACGTATGCATGCATTCATGCATGAATGTCTGGACGAATGCGCGAATGTACTATGTGCGTTAGATTCTAAGCTTGTAAATCCAGCAATTTGTTGAAGACACCCATTCCAGCACTAGGGTATAGGGATGGACTACACCTTTCATTCTAGACAAGGGGAAGCGACTCTGTTCGCTCGGGTAATGTAGTCTTGCAGCTTCTCCGCTTTAGCCGCGCTCATTCCTAAACATGGACGCCCTACATTGAGCTCGCTGCAGCTTCGGATACGGCTCTCAGGCCTCAGGGCGAAGGATCTGTTTGAGGGCTGCTTCAACAATTCAGGACGGTCCTATAAGGGGGCTTATATGCTTAGGAGCTGAGTAGGTAACCTTCAACCTTTTGGGGTTCATATATATATATATATACATATATCCCTACTATAGCTTGAAAGGTTAACCTTTTTTGGGCTAGGATACTCAGCCCCTAAGTATGGGATATCCCTATCCTAGGTTTTGCTTACTGTATGTGCTTTCTTGGGGCCCACCTCGAATCCCAGAGAAAAAGCCCCGAAGCTGGCCCAAGACGGTTGATGATATACCTCCTGCATTACCCCATAATAAGAAAAAGACCATAATTCCCATAGTTTAGGGTCCTTAAGGTAATACCCCTAATAAGGAATATACCGTAGGGTGTAGGGCTTCGGGTTTAGGGTTTAATAATCAGGAATAGACCCATAATTCACATAGCTTATAGGGTACCTATAAGGTACCGCAGGATTTTGTCACCAACAGTATGACTAAAAAACCCTTAACCCCTAAACCCCTAAACCCCTAAACCCTAAACCACTGAACCCGAAACCCCAAAACACACCAACAAAGTCTTCCTCCCTGAAGGCCCCGCTTGAATCCCCGAAGCGCTTAAGCGACCCCCAACCTTAATGACGAAATAAACCCTAAAAGGTTTTAGGGCTCATATACCATTTAGGGATTCATAATATAAGGGTCTAGGGCCCCTACTTTTAAGGGTCATTTCGTCCTTAAGGAAGCTTTTAAAAACTTCTAGCGGCACCTCTGAGCCCGAAGGGGTTCCCTTTTTGAGGGTGTCGGGTCTTAGGGGTCGTAGGGGAACCGGGTTAAGGTCTTGGTTTAGGGGTTTAGGGTCTTAGGATCTTAGAGTTTTAGGGTCTTAGGGTTCCGAAAAGGGGGGGGGTCCCTAAACCCTAAACCGTGTTCCCTTTTTGAGGGACGCGCCCATGGTCCGCCCTTTCTTACCTCTGGCGTCCAGCACACTCTTTCTTGCAGGCGCCTTGAGTCTCACCTGGGAGCCTGAACAAGTAGAAGGCTCTGTGACACATGTGTATGTATGTATATATATATATGTATATATATATACATATATTCATAAAGTACTTGTAGATTCTTATGGATCTGCATATTTCCAGTGGAGTATGTCTCAAATAGTCTTAAATCCATCCCTATTCCAAGTATCAAGGCCCCTGCATTGTTCGTAAAGTCGTGAATCCTAGTCCATTTCTACGAGGGGCTACAGGCACCGCAAGATAAGCTTTCAGTTCCTACAATTTCAGATATGTCAAGTTGATACTACTGATGGTTCCTGAGGTGAAGACGTGATGGTTTCTTGTCGTCCGAGTTTCATTGCGGTTTGGGGTTCAAGGTTTCAGAGGAGTTTTGCACTTGGCTCCTTCGAGGCCTGAGTCCACTTGCTTGGTATCGCGTCCCTGGTTTGATCCCCAGAAGCAGTCCTACTGACCCTACTAACTGAGTCCGAAGAGCATCCAACTACCATTCTGGGGGCCGAAAAAATGACCTCTATGTTTTCCCAAGAGCTCCTTATTGTAATTCAGCTCTGATGTACCCCAGAACCCTGGTCTGATCCTGAAGGCCCCAACAATATGTCAAGGCTCAGGGGTACCGACTTTGGAGTGACAACTCCCTGCTTTCTTCGTGGAATGGCCAACCAAACCCTAAACCGTTCTAGACTTCTTCCAAAGACGGAAACAGGCCCTTAAAAGAAAGCAAAAACCCTAAACCCCTAAACCCTAAAACCTTACACCCTAAAACCCTAGAACCCTAAAACCCTAATACCCTAAAGCCCTAAACCCCTAAACCCCTAAACCCTAAAAGCCGTAAACCCTAAACTCTAGGGTTTAGGGTTTAACCCTAAAACCCTAGAGCCCTAAACTCCAGGGTTTAGGGTTTACGCCGTCCGCTTTACACTCCAAGGCCGGGCCTTCTCCGCGCGCGACAGCGATGCCACGGCGTTTCCGGCCTTCGTGTCTTGTGATGGCCCAGGCCTAGGGTTTAGGGGTTTAGGAGTTTAGGGTTTAGGGTTTTAGGGTTAGGGTTTAGGGTTTAGGGTTTTAGGGTTTAGGGGTTTAGGGTTTAGGGGTTTAGGGTTTAGGTTTGCCCAGGCCGACAAGCGAGCAAATACTGCTACCACATGCTGCCACCTATCACTTGTACTACGATGATAAAACAAAAAAGACTAACAATAACAACAATATTGCTAGTAAATTTGCTACTGCTTCCACTACTGCTAGTACTAACTAGTACTAGTACTACCACTACAACTACTCCTCCTCCTCCTGCTGCTCCTGCTGCTGCTGCTGCTGCTGCTGCTGCTGCTGCTACCGCTGCCGCTACTGCTACTGCTGCTGCTGCTGCTGCTGCTGCTACTACTACTACTACTACTACTACTGCTACTACTGTTGCCGTTGCTAGAGACCTTAGGGCCAAAGTATATACTACATAATGTCTAAATGGTCGATCCTCAAGGCTAGTCCTTGCTGGTACTCACGTGTGAAGCCATCTGTGGTGATGATGCCAGCCGCTTTCAACGAGGCTTAGGGTTTAGGGCGGTTTAGGGTTAATTTTACTAATTCCGCACGCGGGCTGCAATGCCACTCACTGCCACCATCACCATGGACGAAGCTTATTGAACACCTAAACCCTAAACCCTACACCCCCGAGGAGGGCAGTGAACTCGCCTTGGTCCTTCTCCTCGCAGCCGTGCTTTCGAAAACCTTCAAGTTGACAATGTGCCTACCCCCCGCTCCTGCACCCTTGAGAACCGAAAAGACCCGTAATTCAAGGGCCCTAAACTCCAAAGCCTAAACCCTTAAATCCTAAACCCCTAAATTTGCCCTAAATCCGAAACTCTAAACTCTAAACCCTAAAGTCCCAAACCCCTACATCCTAAACTCTAAACCCTTAAATTCTCAAAGCCCCTAAACCCCCGACACCCAAAGGGCTATGGAGCCAAAGGAGGAGGCCATGTCTTGTCGGCGCAGCCTGAAGGAGCGCATTGCAAGGCTTCTCAATGTGGATCATCTCGAGCCGGTGGCTGGGCTCTTCTATTTCCTGTGAGAGGGGGGGGATTTAGGGTTTAGGGGTTTAGTGATTTAGGGGTTTAGGGATTTAGGGATTTAGGGGTTGAGGGGTTTAGGGGTTTAGTGGTTTAGGGGTTTAGGGATTTAGGGATTTTAGGGTTTAGGGGTTTAAGGGTTTAATTGACGGTTACCACAACAAAGGAAGCCTCAACTTTACCATAGGTCCCTAGTTTTTTGGCAGCTCAAACCTACATTCCCAGGGAGCCCAATACCCCTCAATTAAGGAATATCCCTTAAATTATAGGGGGCGTTATGTTCCGGTTTAAGGTATATTCCTTAATTAAGGGGTATTGGGCTCTATGGGTTCCCTGACATATGGCAGCTTAAACCTACATTCCCTGAACCCTAAACCCTCATCCCGAATCCCAAAACAACACTAAAGCTACATCCCTAAACCCTAGTCCCTAAACCCTACATTCGCTACACCCTAAACTAAACCCTAATCCCTAAACCCTAAACCCTACACGCTAAACTTACATTCCCTAAGCCCTAAGCCCGACACGCTAAACCTACATCCCCCTAACAAAAAAAATCCCAGGAGAAGGTCCAGGGCAAAGGAGTCCAGCAGGCGAAGACGGCCGTGCTCGGCCTTGGACAGCCTGCGAAGGTTGGATGTTGCTTGGGTTCTTGTTGCGGGGTTTAGGGGTTTAGGGTTTAGGGGTGTAGGCGTTTAGGGGTTTAGGGGTTTAGGGTGTAGGCTTTAGGGGTTTAGGGGTTTAGGGTTTAGGGTTTTGGGGGGTTAGGGATCTATAGTTACCATAAGGGATCTACTAGGGTTGGTTAATGTGAACGGTTTTTTCAGCTACCAGAATACGGATCTATAGTTACCATAAAAATAAGGGTCTATTCGGGTTTTGTTAAGGTTGAGGGGCTAAGTTTAACCTACCAGAGTAGGGATCTATAGTAAATTAATAGGGTTTCCTTTGTTAGGGTGCTTTTTTAAGCTACCAGAATAAGGACCTATAGTTACCATAATAGGGATCTATTAAAAGGGTTTGCTAAGGTTATGGGGTTTCTTTCAAAGCTACCAGAATAGGGATCTACAGTTACCATAATAGGGATCTATTAGGGTGTGTTAAGGTTAAGGGGCTTAAGCTAAGCTACCAGAATAGGGATCTATAGTTACCATAATAGAGATCTATTAGGGTGTGTTAAGGTTAAGGGGCTTAATTTAAGCTATCAGAATAGGAATCTATAGTTACCATAAGTAGGGTTCCCTTTGTGCCGGGGCTTCATACAAGTTACCAGAATAGGGATCTATAGTGAAGAAATAGGGTTTCGTTTGTTCAGGGGCTTAATTCAAGCTACCAGAAAAGCGATCTATAGTTTATAATCGGGTTACCTTGTTATGGTAATTGCAACTACACCCCTTAAACAAGAGCCGAGGTTGTGCAAGCCTCCGTGCCTTCGCAACTCTCTTCACCCCGTACTTTCTGGACCCCAAGACACGCTGCCGCGCCTGGTTCCTGATGCTCCTGATCATCGCCTCAACGTACCTGGGCTCTGGAGTACCATACTTGAATACTTTGTTTGTTGGACCTGGTCCTTACAGGAACCAATATGAAATAAAAGTCCATACTTTTTTCTCCCTGGTTACTTCAAAGTCCAGGTACGGACAGGTAGCCATGACACTCCAGCTTGCACATGTGCACGGCAACCTGCAGACCCACCTGGCCAAGGCTAGAGTTTAGGGTTTAGGGTTTTAGGGGGGGCCAGTTGGGCTGGCTGCATGTATAGGTTTTGGAGTCATAGTGGGCATGTGCTTATTGTTGCTAGAATGAAATAGATAGAAATAAACCTAGATTAAAGCCTAAACCCTAAACCCTCAACGGGACGGCCCTGAACTTTAAATGCGCCCCGAAGGGTCACCCTGACCACTTTTGGAAAGTCTGGTGGGAGCTGCTTGGGCTGGTTGCTTTGCTGATGCCAGTCATCTTGGTGCTCGTGGCAAAAGAAGACCTTTCTCGGATCTTGAGGGGTTTATAGGGTTTACAGGGTTGTAGGGTTTAGGGCTTTAGCGTTTAGGGCTTTAGACTTAGTAGCTGAATGCTGAGTAGGTAACCTTTAACCTTTTTGGGGCTTCTATAACCCTACTATACTCCCCCCCCCCCAAAAAAAAAAAGAGTACAGGGATCCCGAATCGGGTTTCAGGGCATCTTCGTGAAGCCCAGGAGCCCTCAACACCCATGGAAACCCGCATAAACTCCTAAGGCGCTAGGGGTTTAGGGCTTAGGGCTTAGGGTTTAAACC